TTCCCAGACAAATACATTCTTTAACATTTCACATTTCATACCTCCTATTTACATACATGATAAAATACATATAACATAAATCTCATTTATTTTGAGAACATCGTTACGCAATGCATACATCATGACATTGCATACAACTAACTCTTTACCTTTTCAGGAAAGATTGATCGACAGATAAAGGTTATCATCTTTTGGAGTAGTAATCGTCAAAGGTTCCTTCATTACTTTTTGAGGTAGTAGTCGTCCAAGATTCCTTCATCATGTTGAGGTGGTAATCGTCCAAGATTCCTTCATCGTCTTGCTGAGACCTTCTCTGATTCAGTCAGATCAACACTAAGATCTCTCTGATTCTTATTCCAGTTAAAGACATTATGAGACTTTTGTATGGTTCAGTTAAATCGATCCTGAGATTTTTTTCTTATTCTTATCCAGTCAAAGTTAATTCAAGACCTTCTCTGGTTCAGTCAGATCGACACTAAGATCTCTCTGATTCCTATTCCAGTGGAAGATATTCCGAGACTTTTGTCTGGTTCAGTTAAATCGATCTTGAGATTTTTTCTGATTCTTATCCAGTCAAAGTTAATTCAAGACCTTCTCTGGTTCAGTTAGATCGACACTAAGATCTCTCTGATTCTTATTCCAGTTAAGGACATTCTGAGACTTTTGTCTGGTTCAGTTAAATCGATCCTGAGATTTTTTCTAATTCTTATCCACTTAACGTTAATTCAAGACCTTCTCTGGTTTAGTCAGATCGACACTAAGATCTCTCTGATTCTTATTCCAGTTGAAGATATTCCGAGACTTTTGTCTGGTTCAGTTAAATCGATCCTGAGATTTTTTCTGATTCTTATCCAGTCAAAGTTAATTTAAGACCTTCTCTGGTTCAGTCAGATTGACACTAAGATCTCTCTGATTCTTATTCCAGTTGAAGACATTCTGAGACTTTTTTATGGTTTAGTTAAATCGATCCTGAGATTTTTTCTAATTTTTATTTAGTGAAAGTTAATTCAAGATCTTCTCTGGTTCAGTCAGATCGACACTAAGATCTCTCTGATTCTTATTCCAGTTGAAGATATTCCGAGACTTTTGTCTGGTTCAGTTAAATAAATCCTGAGATTTTTTCTGATTCTTATCCAGTCAAAGTTAATTCAAGACCTTCTCTGGTTCAGTTAGATCGACACTAAGATCTCTCTGATTCTTATTCCAGTTGAAGAAATTCTGAGACTTTCTTACTGGTTCAGATAAATCTCTCAACGATTTATTCTGATTCATTTCCAGATTTTTACTGGTTCAGATAAATCTCTCAACGGTTTATTCTGATTCACTTCCAGATTTTGTTGTTTCAGATAAATCTCTCAACGATTTATTCTGATTCATTTCCATATTTTTACTGGTTCAGATAAATCTCTCAACGATTTATTCTGATTCATTTCCAGATTTTTTACTGGTTCAGATAAATCTCCCAACGGTTTATTCTGATTCATTTCCAGATTTTTTACTGGTTCAGATAAATCTCTCAACGATTTATTCTGATTCATTTCCAGATTTTTACTGTTTCATATAAATCTCTCAACGATTTATTCTAATTCATTTCCAGATTTTGTTGTTTCAGATAAATCTCTCAATGATTTATTCTGATTCATTTCCAGATTTTTACTGGTTCAGATAAATCTCTCAACGATTTATTCTGATTCATTTCCAGATTTTTTACTGGTTCAGATAAATCTCCCAACGGTTTATTCTGATTCATTTCCAGATTTTTTACTTGTTCAGATAAATCTCTCAATGATTTATTCTGATTCATTTCCAGATTTTTACTGATTCAGATAAATCTCTCAACGGTTTATTCTGATTCATTTCCAAATTTTTTTACTAGTTCAGATAAATCTCTCAACGGTTTATTCTGATTCATTTCCAGATTTCACTGGTTCATATAAAATCTCTCAATGATTTATTCTGATTCATTTCCAGATTTTTACTTTTTTCAGATAAATCTCTCAATGATTTATTCTGATTCATTTCCAGATTTTTATTGGTTCAGATAAATCTCTCAATGGTTTATTCTGATTCATTTCCAGATTTCACTGGTTCAGATAAAATCTCTCAACGATTTATTCTCATTCATTTCCAGATTTTTACTGGTCAGATAAATCTCTCAACAGTTTATTCTGATTCACTTCCAGATTTTGCTATTTCAGATAAATCTCTCAACGATTTATTCTGATTCATTTCCAGATTTTTACTGGTTCATATAAATCTCTCAACGGTTTATTTTGATTCATTTCCAGATTTCATTGGTTCAGATAAAATCTCTCAACGATTTATTCTAATTCATTTCCATATTTTTACTGGTTCAGATAAATCTCTCAACGGTTTATTCTGATTCATTTCCAAATTTTTACTAGTTCCGATAAATCTCTCAACGGTTTATTCTGATTCATTTCCAGATTTTTACTGGTTCAGATAAAATCTCTCAACGATTTATTCTGATTTATTTCCAGATTTTTACTGGTTCAGATAAATCTCTCAACGGTTTATTCTGATTCATTTCCAGATTTCACTGGTTCAGATAAAATCTCTCAACGATTTATTCTGATTCATTTCTAGATTTTTACTGGTTCAGATAAAATCTCTCAATGATTTATTCTGATTTATTTCCAGATTTTTACTATTTCAGATGAATCTCTCAACGGTTTATTCTGATTCATTTCCAGATTTCACTGGTTCAGATGAAATCTCTCAATGATTTATTCTAATTCATTTCTAGATTTTTACTGGTTCAGATAAATCTCTCAATGGTTTATTCTGATTCACTTCTAGATTTTGCTGTTTCAGATAGATCTCTCAACGGATTATTCTGATTCGTCTCCAGATTTTTTACTGATTCAGATAAAATCTCTCAACAGATAAATCTCTCAACGGTTTATTCTGATTCATTCTCTGTTCAGATCCAGTTCAAACTTTCCGTCAACAATCACCTTTGGATGGCATCTATAAGCCCATTTCCGACGATTCTCCTCTATTTCTCCAAATGGCATCTTTAAGCCCATTTCCATACACAATCAAATTAGCATGTCATTAAGATCCCCAGCAGAGCCAAAACTACCAACTACCAATCCCCAGCGGAGCCGAAACTTCAAACTTTCAACCCACAGCGGAAACCAGCCAGTTTCTCCAAATTCCCCAGCAAGTTGTCTTGAAGCCTGAAAATCAACCAGATTACGGTTAACTTTTGTTTCTCCCTAACTTAGGGTAACTCCCCAGTAGACTGGCAGACGACCGAAACTCCTGAACTTTTTCCTAACAGGAATAAGCTTTTCCCCATAGAGTTTTTATTGCTTCTCGACAGAACAAAGACTCCCGTCAATAATCCCCAGTAGAAGTCATTAAAATTCTCTGGATTCCCCAGGAAGATTCCTCAAGAAGTATACGGAATTACTCTCACAATGGAATCCTCAGCAGCAGTCAAGGATTTATTTTCCTCAGCAGCAGTCAAGGACTTATTTTCCTCAACAACAGCCAAGGATTTATTTTTCTCAGCAATACAGCAAATCAGCTTACATGCGCATATATCACATCCATATATCATGAACATTGATAAAGATAAGATTAATAACTATCTTTAACAAATGTGCAATGATTCTAGATACAGTACATATACACTCCAGACACGGAAGTCATTCTGTTACTCATTCAGATTTCAATTTCAAGATACAGTACAGATACACTCCAGACACGGAAGTTATTTTGTTACTCATTCAGATTTCAATTTCATGATACAGTCCAGATACGCTCCAAACACGGAAGTCATTCTTCTACTTATTCAGATTCAAGTACAGATACAGTTCAGATACGTTCCAAATACGGACACCATTCTGATGCTTATTCTTTTGATTTACAACAAACATTCTTGGATGGCATCTACAAGCCCATCTCCAACAAGATTCTAACATACTCTCCTAATGGCATCTTTAAGCCCATTATCTCAGCTACACTTTTGTCGAGTGCAAATTTATGGGCACTTTAGTGTCCAATCATCTTTTACGTTCGAGTCACGAACGGCAAAACTCGTCAATCTAACTCTTCAAGTTCAAGAAGATTGAACAGAGGCAGTTGTTGTACCCCAAAATTTTCCCCCCCATTTTTCATAGAAAAACACAACCCTAGGGTTTCTCAGATGTTCAAGCTGGCTCAGAAATTGATCAGACAGATTCTCTTCTGTGGCAGTAAACCAGCAATTAGGGTTTTTCTTGCAATCCTCAGAAGAAAATGAATTCTCAAAAAGATTCAATTGGTTTTCACAGATCTTCATGCTTTCTCAAGTTTACTGAAAAAAATACAGTGTTTGTTCTCAGAGCATGGTTTGCTTGGGACAAGAGATTAAGACTGTCATGTAGGACACTCATGATTGTTTGATACAGGTTAACCAGATGATTTGCGTCTTTTAAAACATTTGCTTGGTTAGAAAATGGAATATACAGTACGTGTTTGTTTGAGATGCAGTTGCAGAATTATTGGGATTACTTGGAATTTAAGTTACCAGACTAGAGCATTTTATTTCAAATATCTTGATTGGAAATTTCAAAAGTCAATTAGGATGCGAAGAGAAATTATAGGTGGTTTCAAGTTGTAAAATGACACCAGAATACTTCATGCTACAACTACAAGATCCATTCATAATCTTCCAAATAATTCAAGAGACTTTCAACAAGATTTCTTTCAAGATTAACCATTATAAAGAAATTTCACGACATTACTCAAGAATCCTAAAAATTCACAAGATGTTCAAATATTACAAAAAAAATACAAAAAATATGCTTCATGAAAAATTCAATTCAATTCATGTTTCTCCAAGTTTCAAGTTATAATTACAAAAGAAATAATTTAGGTTCCTATGCCTAAGGATTCATATTCAATGAAAAGGAGTTCAAAAGTCGTGGTCCTAATTCCTAAAGCCTAATAATCATTTGCATGTTTCAAAATCCTTTAAATTATTCATGCTAAACCATGCTTTCTTCTACAAAACTCCACCAATCTTCAACCTGTTTTGCTTTATTAGCACCAAAATCTGTCCACATGAAACACAACAAGACAAAGTTCAAAATATAGCCAAATTTGTCCAAAATTGATCATACAACAGCCCTACAATATTCATAAATCATAGCAGATCTAAATAAAAAATAGTACAATACATATGTTACACTAACTTGGAAAGAAAGCAAAACAGAAAAATTGAACACCAAAGGCATCACAGTTCTTGCATAGATTCATCACCAAAAAACCTGCACCTTCTGTCCAAAGCTGTCAAAACAGCATGCTTCAAAACCTGCATGAATTAGACTACAGTTGTCTAAAATTACCAAGGATTGCACGAAGATGGCAAGGCAATTCCTGCTTTAGAAAAACAAACAAAAAAACATTACCAATTTAGTTCAAATTATTACTTCGTGGCTCCAATTTCCCCCCAAAAATTGACCCTCATTTCACTATAAGAGAGGCAGCCCCGTATACAAGAAAGAGGGGGGTTAAAAAAAACAGAAGTATATACAAAGTTCATTCCAAAAAAAACCTCTCCTCAAAACCACTCAGTATAAACTCAAAAGTTCCTTAACAGTTTCATTTTTTTTTTGCTACAGCACAAATCTTTAGAATTTCAAGAATCCAGAAGAAAGAATAGAAGCATAATTACCTCGTCTCTGGTGTTATTTTCCTATACTTGTCAAATATGATAAACCTTCATACTAGCTCCCCTTATGAAAGTTGCTTCTTGACTCTCTTCAATATCTTGTTGTGTTGTGTTTGTCGATGGTATGCTTTGAACAAAATTGCTGTCGAAAATCTTTGCTCATGCCATGTTGAAATTTGTGTTGTTACTATTACCACAGAAATGTAACTGTAAAGCTAAGCTTTGATTTTGCCGCTGTTAAGTCATAAAAAATTAAAAAAAAACAAATATATAAAAAAATTTTAGAAACAAACCGTAAAAAATCGTGAAAAGGAGAACACCATAGCTGCTGCTTTTGCTCTTGCCCTTTTTCTCTCCACCTTCACCGCCACCGGCTCTATTTGCTTCGCAAGACGCATGCTGCAGAGGTTTTTGTTGCTGAATCGATTTTGCTCCGGTGAAGACTCGGAGTCAAAGCTTTGTTTAACATCGGTATTACTGTGAGGAAGATTTTTTTTGAAGGGATTGAGAAATTGAAGAATTAGAATTTGTGGGTTTTGGGATATGCGTGAGGTACAGAGAGATGGGAAGAGGATGAATTTTTGATCTGAAAGAATTTTTTGTTGTTGTTTTTTTCGTTCTTTTCTTTTACAATGAGATTGGTATTAGTTTGTACCGTTAATTCTTTTTTTTCTCTCTCTCTCTTCCAATACTTATCCTAAGGGCCGCATCCTCTTCTACTAGGGTTTCTTTTTTCAAACTCTTCTACTGTGAGTCGGGTCAATTTACTGGGCCTTTTGGCCCAATCTCTTTGTTTTCAAATTCCTTTTTATTATGTTAACCAAATCTTGACAATAGCAAATAATGTAGTATAGTTGGTAAGATGTGTCTTAAGTATTTCAAATGGCCTGAGTTCAATTCCTCCTGTGGACATTTTTTATTTTACTTCTTTCAACTTTATCTTTTGACTTATATTTTTTTAGTCTTAATAAAATACTTCAACTAACCTTAAAGAACATACATTTTTTTTATACATACATTAATTAATTAATTTAAACTTTGTGATTTTTTTTATCAACTTCTTGTTTTTTTCTTTAAAAAATAAAATTTGTCGTAAATAAAATTGTTAAGTAATGTACATATAACAAAACATTAAAAAATAGTAGAATGTTTTTTTTGTTGTCCTTCTTTAGATTTTATTTAAATAAGTAAAAATACAAAATAATACATGCGATTTTAATTTCTTTTAACCAGTTATTTCATTTTTAGAATAGGTTTTACTTTCTTCCTTTCAAGTAATATATTTAAAATATCATTTCTATATTTTATTGGTTAAACTTCATGGATTATCATAGCTTTAATTAAATCGCACAAAATTCGATTTGGTTGTATTGTTTGATATTTGGACATTGCTATTTTCATTTGACTCATCCCCATTTGTAACAATTGTACCCACATTCTCGAATACTTTTGTAATAGCGTAGAATATCAATTCCCATAATTTACTGTTTTCCATATACTGTATAGTAACTAGGCATGTATGGCAAGATTCAAAAATCGATCGCTAGATGACCTAATCCAAGAATAAAATAACTTAAAACCAACACACTTTTTCACACGCGCACCTCTAGGGTAACCTCGCTCGTTGCCTCGGAAATACAATCATGTCCCTCAAATATGGGATGCTTTTGCAAATGACCCTTCAATAAACAAAGATCATAGTCCCTCGATGACCCTCGATGTTGCCTTTGATTAAAATGATCTCGTCCTTTACAAAATTGCTAAAGCGTCTCACAAGTTGCCTTCAATGATTGTAAAATTGACCCGCGCCTGTCCCTTCACATCCAACGGTGGGGATTCTTACCAAATCAATGGTAAGATAGCACCATTAAAAGGAAGAAGAAAAGAACAACTTAAGACCTTTCGAGTAGATAGATTCGCTCTTAGTTACTCGCTTGCTCACGACAAAAACTTTTACACCTACACTCCCATTTCAAAATATTTTCAGAAAGATAAAAAGTTTTGTATACATTCTTATAGAGACGAGAACCATTGCAAAACCTCTTTTCAAAACACTTTCCAAAAAACGATTCACAAACACCTCTTTGGACCATTTTTCGAAACAAAACTTTGTATACGTTCTTATAGAGATGAGAACCATTACAAAGAGATTTTTCAAAATACTTTCAAAGCCCACACCACAAGCACACAATCAAATGAAAGCAAGTGATCTAAACGAGTAACTAAGAGCCCATGGAAAACCATGGATTAAAAGGGTGCTAATACCTTCCCTTTTCATAATCTACCCCCCGAACCCGAGAAATAATCTCGAAAGTTCTTTCTTGTGCTTTTTTACCTTTCCTTTTGGATAAAAGAAAAGTCGGTGGCGACTCTTGCTAACCACACAAGTGAGAACGAAACGCAAAACATCTAGTCAGTTCTCCCACCGCATCACAGTGTCATATTTATCCAGGTAAATTGTCTTACCGACCTTTCTGTTCTAGGCTGGTTGTTCCTTTGTTGAATAGGTACATGCTTAGGGATCATGACGGCCCCTACCGTTGGACGGTGTTCAGTTCTGTCCTGATCCTTTGATGGTACACAGCACCAACCTCTTTATTCCAAGAAAATGGTTTATTCAATGCGCTCGAGGATGCATCTTTTTGAATTTTTCCACTTCTTATACCCGCTTATACTCGTTCGCCAGTCATGATTAATTCGGTAAATCCAACCGAGTAGCTTCTTATAAACTGTTTGAAGAGTGGACCAGACAGTGTGCCTAAGAACATATCCACCAATTCCCGATCAGATAGAGGGGGTTGGACTCTTCCTACGAGATCCCGCCATTTTTGAGCATAGGTTTTGAAACCTTCACCTGCACCCATGGACATGCCTTGCAGTTGCGTCTGAGTTGGAGCTAAGTCAGCATTATACTGGTATTGTTTATAAAAGGCGACAGCCAAGTCTTCCCAATTGCGAATATTGGTCCCTTCTAATTGATAGAACCAATCCAACTGCATCCCTGACAAGCTTTCTTGGAATAAATGTACCCATAGGTCTCTATCGGCAGTATGGGGTTAAATTTTCCTGACGTATGACCTTAAATATAGTTTTGGACAAGAGATACTTTCATATTTAGCGAAAGTAGGGACCTTGAATTTATGCGGTATGACAACCCCTGAGACAAGTCCTAGCTCCTCAAAATCCAACCCGGGTACTTTCTGGATCTCTATAGCATTTAAGCGATCTTCCAAATGTTTGTATTCGTCATCGCTGGAGGATACTGCTCTTTAGAGTAATCAACCTCTTCTTCCTCTTCAGATTCTGGATGATTAGTCACTTCCTTGTTTTTCCCTTCTTGATTGTCCCATTCACCTGATGATGTTGCGAAGTCTAGGGTCCGTCTGGTTGGCCCTTGGAACCTTCTTCCCAGATTCAAAATACTGGTTGATTTCTTTGCTTTCTTCTTCTTTTCTTTGATCAGTAAAGTTTTCAAATCCTCTTGTCCTTTTGCCAGAGTTAAGAACATTTGTTGAAATTGGGCGTTCTGCACCTGGAGATCTTTTATTGTCTGTTCAATATCCATCTCACTGAAATAAATAGTAGAAAGATAAGGAGACCTGTTGTAAGAAACTTGTTTGTGTTATGATGAATGAAGATGCATATGCAATGATTTCAAGGAAATTGGAGATTTAAATTCGCTTTAGACAAAAAGGAACACACATTATATTAATAAACCAAAGTTTGAGTACATCATGCCTCTTTGGGCTTTTAAAGAAATAAAAATAAAAATTTTTAAGACAAAAAAGTTGAACGCATCCTCTTCGGTGCGATGTAGGCGTGCAGACTCCACTCTTCATGAAGTTGCTTGGTGAGTTCCATAAATTTCTTCTCGCTGGCAAAGAATTGGGCCTCGAAAGTGTCTCGCTCACCCTTAAGCTGTATCCAATCCCTTTACAGGTCTTCGGGAGATGTGGGCATGTTAGGATGAAGGATAGTGTATGGGACATCTCCTTCCACAACAGGTTCTATCATAACTGGTAAGATGGAAGGATAAGTGTGATACGGTGGCAGAACCGACTATTTTGAAAATGTTGGTTTGCGTTTCGCGTTTGTATTCGCAAAATGTCGCGGTAAGCAAGAGTCGCCACCGACTTTTATTTTATCCAACTGGAAAGGAAAAAAGCACAGAAAAATTCCTTTTTCGAGATTTCGAGTATGGGGGGTAGATTATAGAAAGGGAAGGTATTAGCACCCTTTTTATCCATGGTTTTCCATGGGCTCTTAGGTACTTGCTCATCTTTTTAAAATTGATTGTGTGTTTGTGTTTTGAAAAGTTTTTGTTTTACTTCGTTTTAACCCTTGCTTCTGTCTTCAAGAGTGTTACGAAGTGTTTTTGAAAACATTGTTTGAAAAGTGTAAGTGTAAAAAGTTTGATTTTGAGAAAGTACCTACTAGCATCTACCTACTCGAAAAAGATTATTTCCATTCTCGTTTCCTTTAAACAACGCTATCCTACTATTGAGAAATAGGTAGCACCGTCGTTGGGGTTGTAAGGGTCAATTCGAAAGGGATGTACGATCACTAAAGTAATGTTAGGACGTCTTAGTAATAACCCTAAAGTCTTAAGATCATATTCGAGGCAACCTTTTCGAGGCAACATTTCCGAGGCAACATTTCCGAGGGATATTTGATATTTGTTTAGATAGGAGGGCGACCACTAAGACACCCTATACTTGATGACCATTTACCGAAGGCAACCGAAGTGAGAGTATACCCTAAGAGTGCGCATGTGCGAATGATTTGATTTCAGTTATTATCTTTTCACATTAGGGTTTTCTGGCCATTTTAAATTGTCATGCAATCTTGTCATACAATCCTATTAACATACATCTAGCACTTAATATTTGCGAGAATTAAAATGCGGGAAATAAAACCTACGCTATTACAAGGCTTCGGGGTAGGGATTAATTACATAGCCAAAAAAAACGTAAAACGATAAATAAAGAAAATCCTAATTTAAACTATTACATACCATGAGCAGTTACATTAATATTGTAAAAATAATAAGCGCGCGCGATAAAACGAAAACGAGAGATTTAGGGTTTTGACCCCAACTACCTAATTGTTATTTAAAAGAAAAAATAATTTTTTTGTGTTGTTTTTGATTATTTTGAGAAAATAAAGTTTAATTGAATAAATAAAAGAAAACCTAATTACTAATTAGTTTAAATTAAGAAAAATAATTAAATTAACCTATTTTTTTTATTTTTTTTTATTTTGAGAAAGAAATAAAAATTAAATCAAAAGCAAAACCTAATTTTTCTAATTTGATTCTAATTATAAAAAAGAAAGGTTAGAATTATCCTAAATTAAATTAAACTAACATTAAATTAAATTTGATAAAATAAAAACCTAA